ATCTTAAACCAAATAGGAAATTGCTTGACTACTACTTCAAGTAACTAAAACCAAGTAGGAAACTAATTACTTCTCACACAAAATAAGGATCTTGATTAAAAGAAATTAAGCCAATTTCCTAATCAATCTCCACCTTGGCGAATATTTCTTTTAGCAGACACAACAAACCATCCAAAAGAAACTCCATTTGCCTTTTTACCATCAAATACCCTGGTGCCTAACTACATACCCGAATCAAGACGGTCTTATTTTCAATTGATTTCAATCAGCAAATGAATGTGTGTACCTAACCGAGTCCAACATCTAGTTGACTCGTGAGAGGGGTTTCAATTCACCCTTTCCCGTAGCAGGACTTGTTCTCTCACCACCATTTGTAATTTGAGAGCATTCTTGGATCCCCATCCTTGCACTACACTCCCAACCCATTGAGGTATTCAAATGGTACAAATTACCATACTTCTTTCCCATCAACAAGACTGTCTCGTCATATGTAATTTTCAAAACTCCACCTGCAGCCGAAAAATGGTAATCCTCGGAGTCTAACTAGTTCAAAGAAATTAAATTCTTTCGTAACTTTGGGACATAAGCCACACCACCCAAAGAATAAATCTCTCTATTCAATATTTTGATTTTTACCACTCCAACACCTTTAACTTTACAAGTAGATCCATCACCTAAGGACACAAAACCTACATTCTTTCTTTGGAGAGTATCAAAATAGTCTAACTTGGAGCAAACATGTGAAACACATCTAGAATCTAAAATCCAAGCATCACGAGAAGAAGTTTTATTACCTTTGGAGATTGTGAAAATATCTCCACTCGATATATATCCAGCAACACTGTCATACTTATTCTCATCATTTTTTTTTACAAGGGCAATATCTTTTGATATGACCAAACTCATGAAAACCAAAGTACTGGATTCCACCCTTTCTCTTGACCTTTGAACCACTCGCCTTAGATTCACCGCCAAGTTGTTTTTCTCTTTTATTCTCACATCGAACAATTAACATAGTTTCTTGTGTCACATCCTGGTTTGCCTTCTTTGTTTTTATCCAACAAAGATGACTGCATATTTTTGAATTCTAAAATGTTCTTCCTATACAATAGGGTCGTTATGACACTTTCCTAAGAATCAGAGATTGAGGTAAGAAGTAAAAAGACCTTATCTTCTTTTTCAATTTCTACGCCAACCTTTTGGAATTGATTCAAAATTCCGTTGAACGCATTCATGTGATCCATAAGACTGCCACCCTCCTCCATCTTTAGTGTATAAAATTGCCGTTTCAGATGCAATTTATTGGATAAGCTTTTAGCCAGATAAAGATTTTTCAATTTTTTCCAAAGGTCTGCTGCAGAATCTCTCTCATCTATCACATCATTTACAATGTTGTCCACCACGTAGAGTCGAATCGTGCTTGCACACCTTGTGTCCAACTCTTCAAACTCATTAATCTTCATGCTCTCTGGTTTCTTGTTCTTTCCATTCAATGTTTTTGTCAAACTTTGTTGAACTAGAACATCCTTCACTCTTCTCTGCCAAAGAGTGAAATTTATAGTTCCATTAAATGGTTGAATTGGAAACTGTACAGTTCCAAACCCCATGGTATACCGCTACCCACTCAATTTCAAATAATTAACCAAAATCTCAATGGAACTTTGATACCATTTGTTAGGATATCAGACTAACTATTTAAAATAGAAAAAGAAAAAATTAACAATTTAATAGAAAATAATATTTAGTACGAACAATGAGCAGCGTACAAGAATTAACGTGATTCGGCTTAATCACCAAATCTACGTCCACGGAGAGAAAAACATGTTCTTACTATGAAAGAAAAACATCACAAGATTACGACTTGATTCTCAAATCTCAACTCTTGTATAACCCTCTCACCTACTAAGAACTCTCTCACTCATTTCTTGTGTGTCTTTGTAGTATGTCAATCTACCTATTCATAGAGGATATTACTTGGCTAAAAAATCTAATAACAATTAGAAACCAATAATAATTCCTAAGACTTATATAGAATAGGAAATAACATCTAAATCTTAAACCAAATAAGAAATTCCTTGATTAGTAATTCAAGTAACTAAAACCAATTAGAAAATTAGTTACTTCTCACATAAAATAAGGATTTTGATTAAAAGAATTAAACCAATTTCCTAACAGACATGATTTATAATGTGTACATAAACTATGGGAACAATAATTTGCAATCTTTTGGGCGGAGGAAGTAGAATACATATGTTTAGAGGATAAGGACTTAATCACAGCAAAGTTTTCAAGGTAATGTTGCCTTTTGAGAAAATGGAGAGCTTAATCAAAAAAATATATAATGAATACCATAATATTAATAAATTCTTCATGTATTGTTTCAACTTCATTTTAAAGAAAAGCAAAAATAGGGCAAATTACACTTTACCCCCCAGTGGTTTAGTGTTTTTCTATATAACCTCAGTATGGTTTCAAAAGATATACATAACCCCCTCATAATTTGGATTAAAGTATCAAAGTGACAAAAATGATCATTTGTAATGGAGTCACCTAAAATGTCAAAAATACCCTTATGTAAAGTTAAAAATTATTTATTAACCAAAGAGGGTTATATGTATATTTTGAAAACCATAATGAGGTTATATGGTAAAGTATTAAACCATAAGGGGGTTATATGGTAAAACATAAAGCCATACGGGATTAGTATGTCATGTATTTATAAGGATAATTTTGACATTTTTAAAGATTCCGTTACAAATGATCATTTCCGTCTCTTTGCAACTTTAATCTAAACCATGAGAGTGTTATGTATAGATTTTTAAATCATAGGGGGGTTATATAAAAAAACACTAAACCATGGGAGGTAAAGTTTAATTTGCCCGCAAAAATAAAGAAATAAATGAATCTCTGATATTATCTATCACGCTTTATTATATGATAAGTGACTATTTTTGGATGATATTTTATAATACTTTTGCAATATTATACGAAGAAAATGGTCAATTTTTGTTGGAATTAATTCTAAGTGCAATCCAATGCTCAATTGAGAAATTTGTCCCTTTTACTTGTACATTTTTTAATATTTTTTTGTAGGAGTTGGAAATGGATTTCATTTTAGACAACAAATAAGCTTACATTATAATAATTGAAGTCTTAAAATTCTCAAGGATGATGAGTTTCAAGAGTGATTCGAATCACTAGAAGAAGAAAATGAAGAAACTTGCCGAAAACAAAAATGTTAGGGGAGAAATATCTCAAGAAAGCCCTCAAAGAGGCCAATATGTAAGTCAAGAACCCAACTCTGACCCAAAAAATTAAGCTGTTAGGTCTCGGATTCTTACTTACATATTAATCGCTCTTTTTCCATCTTTTGAATTAATGTGGGACATAATTCTTTACTCATAAACCTAACAGAAAGTCGATTTGAATCCCTCCGAACAATTCTGCCAGTTTTTGGAGGAATTGCTTAGAGGGATTCGTGGCAGAGAGTTAAATTGAAAAATCAAAATTCGAAGAAAACAGGGGGAGAATCCGACCAATTTCTATAGGGATTGCTTGGAGGGATTTTGATCAAACTTTGCGGCTTCAACTTGCGCAAGTTGGTTTCATCTCCATTATTTCACTTCTTTTGGGGGACGAATTTGGTGACTTTTTAGCTGTAAAGGTGTGGATCTACAACCATCTTTTGAACCATTTTTTTCTATATAAACACATTAGCTTCAAGAATCGAAGGAGGGCTTGGAGAGGGCAAGGAACACCACAAAAATGTGGTTTTTTAGCTTTTTGGTTTAGATAGTGTAGGATAGTTTAATTTTAGCTAGCTCATCCTTTCTTGTGTATTAGTTAGATTAAGATGAAGTTGGAAGATGAAGAAGGTAAGGAGAGAGCTCATGTGACAAGGATTAATCTATGGTTGAAAAGGGATCTCTCAGGATATTTTCTCTTTGTTTTGAAGATAGAATGTATAGTGTCATATAGGCTACCGTAATTGTTAATTAATGTAACGAATGAAGGAGTGATGCCAAGTTGTCACTGGTTAAGTGGCACTAAGGATCTGATTTGTAATTAATGTACTTAGAGGCTATCGTCTTCCATCACTTGGGATCCTCGGTGACATATTTTGAGTGCCAATCCAATGCCACCTCTAATATTACGCCAAGTGTCCTGTTATTATTTGCATTTTAATTTTTTAATAATTCAAATTGGTTTGGTTTAATACAAGTTTTCTCTACCATCTAAACCTTTGAACCAAAATTAATGGGCCGGTCTAATTCAAATACCATCACTTTTGAGTTAACTACTCACGATCTGGGGAAAAAGAAAAAGGAAACCTCAAGACGATGAACCTCAAGATCTCTAATTCATTTACCTAGTTTTCTCTACCCATCAGGACGATGAACCTCAAGATCTCTAATTCATTTACCTAGTTTTCTCTATCAATTATGGCGACCCCTCAGATTTTGCAGAGAGAAGAAGATCTTCTCTTATGGCAGTCCCTCTTTGATGACCCCAAAGGTCCTACGATTTCCATCATCCTAAAATTGAAGATAGTAATAAAATCTCTTTTTAATTCCCTTGCTGATGTTCGCTCCAGCAATCGTCCTTGACAGCAATATGGAGGAGAATCTCGTTATCCAAGAAAGGGGAAGAAAAGTCACCTCTTGGCATTAAAACGCAGGCAAAACTTTAGAGTGGTGATGCAAGGTCTTTTCTCAACTTTTAGCTTATTGGGCAACGGTGCCACAAGCTTCCAGGGACTTTGTCTCTTTTTGGCTTTGTTCAAAGCAATCACCGATGAAAGACTTTGGTGGCTCAATCGCTCAGGTTTTCTTTTTCTTTTTCCCCAGATCGTGAGTAGTTAACTCAAAAGTGATGGTATTTGAATTAGACCGGCCCATTAATTTTGGTTCAAAGGTTTAGATGGTAGAGAAAACTTGTATTAAACCAAACCAATTTGAATTATTAAAAAATTAAAATGCAAATAATAACAGGACACTTGGCGTAATATTAGAGGTGGCATTGGATTGGCACTCAAAATATGTCACCGAGGATCCCAAGTGGTCTTCCATGAAGCTCACTTGTTCATTCTTTAATAAAATAGGTCCATTTGCTCCAAAGAAAGGAAAATGAACATTTGTTGCCAATTATAGAGCGATTACTAAAAGTACTTCATTTCACTAGTACAATTAACAAAATTAACATCTCTACCAGTTTAGGTATTGGAGCAACATCATCAGAGACTAGGACAAGAAGCTTCACTCAGGTGGATGGTCGTCTTCTGGAGTTTGAGGTGGTACAGGTTTCCAACCAGGTTTTTCATCCCAATAGATGTCGTAGTATATATGGCCTGGAAAGTGATCTTCCACACAACACCATCTACCTATGTATGCCTTCATACGTTTCCTGAACTTTTCTTCTCTCGGCTTGTCAGTGAAACCTATGAAGGCATCTTGCATGGATGAAAACTGAAGGACTTTGACATCTTTGAATAGTGAGAATACAGTCCTGTACGTTTCTTCGGAGCTATTTTTGGGAAATTTAACGACTCCTGTTCGATTTGTAGTAGCATATGACGAAACTTGACAACCATGCGAACCCTCTTGACAAAGAAATACATCAAGCCACGAATCTTTCACTTTCTGGGGAATGGATGGATTGTCAAGTATAGAATACTCTTTTATCCTTATCGATGGTCCGAATTCATCCTCAGGCAAGCCTTTCATAATGACATCAACCTGAAAGACATAATCCAAAGGACAGATAAAAGGTTGTCTCATAATACTGCCTACCATGTCTCCAGGACGGAATAACCAAAGAGTATCCATCCTGCACCATATACGAGGCATTATCAACGTCCGATTGAGCAATGAAGCAATAGCAAATGCAGTTCTAATTTGTTTTATTTGGTAATTAACAAGAACGAAGTGTGATTCAATGTTATGCTCTCCATCTAGTAACAAATTCTTTGGTATGGAAGGTTTAAATGTCAAGAACCCTTCAGGGGCATCATAGTAACTTGGTGGATCGTATAACAGTTTTGCTTCTCGAAACCTATGATGCTTTCCTTCAGTACCACAAGGTTGGAAGGTTGTACGCGTTGCATAAGGCTCGAGTTCGAGATGTTGATACATCTTCTGGACAAAAAAAGTATGCCCACTGCAAAAAATACTTGATGGGAGGCAACCGAACTTGAGCTCTCCATCATAAGCATAAATAAGTTTACTGTCTTGATCAACATATGGTCCTAATTTCCTGCGGATAATGTCATTGAAAACTTGTTGATCCCATATATTTTGATCCGCTAGAATCAACTCTTTCCATTCTTTTACAAACTTTTTTGAGGAATTTGTTGGCCTCCAGTGAAAAATACCTACATTGTAATGAACGTGAATTTGGTCGCAGAAGTCCAAACTGTCATCCACAACAGTCGGTACAATTTGATCAGTGGATGTCAGGATGTCTGCATCAGGGAAACGTGCTAGATATGGCAAGGGATTTTTCAACCAAACTGTATCTGTATCACACACCAGGAGTTCGAAACCAAAAGGGAGGAGAGCATCTATCAGGATAATTCTCTCCCTTTGCATCTTGTTCCAATCTGGCGAGCCCCAGCCAGCATCTATTGTGCTCATTTGGCTACCAATATCAAAAACTGGTACACCTTTCCAGTAAAGAGCCTCCAACAGTTTTGGGTCCATGGCACCAACAAGAAGGTTTTCGATGCTCAGTTCTGTCAAGTGCTTTACCCAGTTTAAGATGAAATCCATGAAACCATAATTACCAAAGGTAATTATTATGATGTTATCCTTCACTCTTTGCTGCACCAATTTCTTGCTCAGTTTGAAAGTCTTAAGAGGTGGCATCTTAGAACCAGCTGGAGGGACCTGCCAAATTGGTTTGACTAATTTGTTTTGTACCCTAGAAATGGGAGCTAATGGCAGAGAAGAATTGGATTCCTGCATTTTGGCTGGAGTAATTGGCAAAAGGGAAAACGATGAGGAAGACAATCTGTAAACATCAGAGAAAACGTAGAAACAATACAGGGCTGCTCCCATGAGCACAATTGCATAGATCGGCCAAAAAGCTGGCTTACAATTTTCCATATCTTTGCATAGATTCCTAAAGAAACCCGAAAAAGGAATTTGAGCTTTAATTGAATGACACTCAAATTATCCATTCCACTTATATAGAAAATCATCACAAAAAAAAATGTACCAGTACATTTGAAGGAGTTACAAATAATTATGGCTACATGAGTTTTTTCTTTTCTAGATTGTGCTATTCAATACTACGTTGCACTATTCATGAGGTTCGGGCTATGGTCTAATCAACACAGTGGGCACAGATTGCACAAAAATTGACTTGCTACAGAATTCAATTGGCTATTCCAAGCCATGTGTAAAATTTGATAGATCCCTAAGAAAATCCATAAAGGAATTTGAGTTTAATTTAATGAAACTCAATTTCATAAATTGATACATTCACCTTTGGGAAATGCAAATGTACATTTAAAGGATTTATTATGGATATGGTTTTCGGCTATAGATTGTGCTACACTATAACTGTACTTTTCAGGTCCACAATCCTAACGTTTGCCATGCTCTACATTCCCACAAATTGGGCCTTGGACCAGTCATTCATATAATTGTAAATTGAGTATGTTATTTATTTGTGCTTCATAAAAATTTACATGGGTACGGCCAGAAGAGTAAAATGTGAAAATTTTGGCTATTCATGTGCGAAGGACATTAAATAGAATAAATTAAAGCTGATTACTGCCATAATTTTTTTTGGCCTTTTCATCGTAAAGTTCTGTTTGTAATTAGACGATACTATTTTTTAGTTTTCTTATGAAATGGCATAAATAGAATTCTGCATAAGAAAATTTGAACTAAGATTATGGATCTAACCCCATGGATTACGAACCAGTAGTACGATGTAGCATAATGTCAAGGTTTTGATGTTCATGCTTAGTCAAGAAGTTCTACACATATTCATCTTAACATGAAAGATTTGCGCCTTAGCATATCAGCAATTAAATCTTAAAGCAATAAGTTAATTTGATGGCATTCCATATAGAGATGCTACACTCTAAAACTGTTGGTTGCTTTATTATAATTACGTGCAAAGTACGTGATATGTTAGTAGTATTTTTTTTCAAAAAGCTCAAAGGAGTAACAAACAGAAATTGATATAATTGAGATGCACTGGTAGATAAGACTGGAAAAAAAAGTACGACCAGACATAAGATGGATGTGAATTTACAACTGATGAATTTACAGATGAAAACGAAGATGGACAGCAAATTATGTCATTGCTGAAAGATTTTTTTTTTAGGGTAAATTACATTTTATCCCCCTGTGGTTTACCCCTTTTTTACATAACCCTCCTATGGTTTCAAAAGCTATACATAACCCCCTCATGGTTTGGATTAAAGTGTCAAAGTAACGGAAATAATCACTCGTAATGGAAATAATCACTCGTAACGGAACTTCTAAAAATGTTAAAATTACCCTTATAAATACATGACACATTAACCCCGTATAATTTTTGTGTTTTACCATATAACCCCCTTATGGTTTAATACTTTACCATATAACCCCCTTCTGATTTTCAAAATATACACATAACCCCCCTTGGTTAATACATAAATTTCAACTTTACATAAGGGTAATTTTGACATTTTAGGTAACGCCGTTATGAATGATCATTCCCGTCACTTTTACACTTTAATCTAAACTATAAGGGGGTTATGTATAACGTTTGAAATCATAGGGGGGTTATGTAAAAAAATGCTAAACCACGAGGGGGTAAAGTGGAATTTGCCCTTTTTTTGAAGTGGTTTTTGTTGGCACTGTGTATTTTGGACTTTTATCTGCAGAGTTTAAACTCAGAGAGTTGTTCTTTATCTGCCTATTTAAGGATTTTCATTCCCAATTCTAGCAACTTTTGCTGCCTCAAGTTATCTACCATCTTCTCAAAGAGAAAGATTTCCATCTACTTCTGGTCCGAGAAGAGAAAGGCAGAGACTGCTTTTAATCATTTGCCCTTCAATTCCTTGAGGATCTTATAAATCCCTAGAACTGGTTATTACAAGATCATTAACTAGTTATAAAAGAAATGAAAGAAAGTAGCTGTAGCACGGAAGGTTCCAAGACCAGCCGGACAACTAACCAACGTCTTGAGGACGATGAAGAAGATCATGAGGATGATGATCATCAAGAAGCCATGAACAACAACAGTACAAAGCCTAATATTAATGGTACCAGCTCTAGCAACAGAATTGACCAAACAATTCAAAAATGTCAATTCACCCACTAAATTTTTTGTGCCAATTTGTCCATTAAAATTTTGAATGTGCACCTTTGGGCTATTCCGTTAGGTTTCTTTTTGTCTTTTCATACTAATTGAGTGATCGAAATACTACATTTTTAGAAGTTTAACGTGTAAAAGATCGATACACACAAAAAAGTCCAATAGGTAAACTAAAACTTTCTCTATCAATAATTTCGAAATAGTACATTTTTAGAAGTTTAATGTGTAAAATATCGATATAAACAAAAAGTCGAATAGGTCAATTTAAACTTTCTCTACCAATAATTATCTTTTTATTTATCTGGTGCTTTTCTCACACCGTTATTATTTTTAGTATTCTTATGTCATATTGGATAAATTCGTGTAGTTAAATTATGTGTTTTATCGTTAGAGGTTTGAAAGCTAAATTATGTTTCCATAAAGTAAAGGTCAGTTTGTACAAAATTTTGATTGATGAATTATCAATGGAATATATTAATTACCCAAAAATAAATAAATAAATAAATAAATAAAGGACCCCTCCCAAACCGCTAACAAGGATAAAATGGAATTTGATGGTTTTGAAGGCATCTGCTTTACTTTGTGGTGGAAATAGCCATATGGCACATCTTGGAGATCAATTTGCTTTAACAGAATTTTATAAAAATGTTTTGGCTTGATTGAGATTTAAAAAAAAAAAAAAAACTAAGAAGAGTTTTAGAAATCTGGGAAAGACTTGAATCTCTCCTACGATTCCCAAAAAAAGGGATAATTTCAAAAACCTCCCTTGAGATTTCTAACAATTTCACTCAGCTCCTCTCAAGTTTAAAATATTACACTTACCTCCCTCGATATAGTAAAATACCTATAATGCCCTCCATTTGGTAGACAATTTTAAATTTAAGGCAATAAGTTTACAAAACCCAAAAAAAAAATTTTGTCTCTTGTCTATTTTTGCTCCTCTCTTTTCTAGTTAATATAACATCTTTTTATTATCTTCAGTTTTGTAAATATTAGCAAATTAAAATTAGAAAATCAACAGAGGGAGTAGATTATGTGTCAAACTATAAGGAAGTGAAGAGACTCGCAATGATAGCTAAATAAATAATGAAATTGATGATTGAAATAAGAAGAAAAACTAAAGATGTGGAATTTGTCATATTTTGTTTGTTGTCAAGAAAAACTTTTATAAAATATTAATAATTATATAAGGATTTCATTCATTGGATTAGAAATTTTTTATTATGATTTTATTGTGGAGGTAGAATTTATTCTCTACTTTTTAGATATTAATATTTTCAATGCCATAGAAGGGTTGTAATGACGATTCTAGACCAAATTAAGTTGTATTGAAAATGTATTTAAGTATTGATATTTAATTTTGGGGTATAAAATTGGTTGTCAATTGGGTTTGTGTGTGTTTTTTTTCATTTATTTTTTGCATGACAAGTATTAATACTGTATATGAAATTTGGAATCTTTTGGATGGCTATTTGGATTTAGAACTTATGCTTGAATCGTTGTTATGGATTAGGTTTGTTGATTTGTATAAAGTGTAGAAGAAAATGATTTGAGTATACTATATTTTTCTTTCTTAGTTTTGTACAAAAGGGCAATTTAGGATTTTTGAGAGAAAATTTAACTTGTTGGATTTTTATTGTTACTAAACAGTAAAAGTAGAGGAGGTATATGTAATTTTTAAAATTTGATAGGAGCTCTTTATAATTGTTAAAACCTTCAGGGGAGATTTGTGAAATTATGCCAAAAAAAATTTCTCTTAGGAGAGTTAGGATTTTGGAATAGGGGAAGCGAATCAAAGATAGGCACGTTATACATGAGTTACCTTAGAATATGACGGTTGTAAATAAAAATTAACTAATCTAAACAGAGAATTTCTATTATAGGCACAAAGAAATAAAAAGTACAAAAATTGCACCAACAGTTGGACTCTGTATGCTAAAAAAAAAAGAATAATAACACGATAAATATACGAACATAATCAAAAGTACATTTTAAGAGGAAAAAGTACTCAAATATTTTGAGGGAAAAGTCAGGATAGTGGAATCACAAAAGTTTAACAAAATTTTTGGGGGAGGTAAAGTAAGGAACTAAAAAAAATTCTTTAATATTACATAGATTAAAATGAAATTTCCTAGAAGTTAGGGTGGCGACTGGCCCTGCTGGTCACTCCTGCCTCTGCCATTCCCATCATTCTATTATTGTACCTATCCGCTCACCATCTTTCAAGTTATTGGTGCAAATTGCAAGAACTAGAATGCATTCGGGCTTTGATCTTTTGTTTTTCACTGTGAAGTTGCTGCTATCCTGGCCAGTTCCGTGCCAAGATTGAAGATGTTGACCATCCGATGTACCAAGATACATAGAGAAGCAAGCTGTAGAGACTTTTCTAGGCAAATTGGTAAACCTTGAGAAGCTCTACTTATCCCTCAGTTCAAACTGGATTTATATCACCTTTTGGAGAACTTAGATTTCTTCTACCACTCGATGATGAAACAATGGCTCAGAAAGTTTCCAAGTTTCGAGTGTTCCATTTCCGTGTAGGATATTGTATGCCTTGTACTGCTATGACCGTGGAACCAACATCCCTGCAGGATTTCAATCTTTCTCTGCCCATATACTTCGTGCTATGTATATTAGGATTATATCATATAAGCTTTGCAAAACTTTAAATAAGTGTTTGGAAGAGTCTTTGCACGAAAACTTTGAAAGAAAAAATGGAGTTCGTTGATACATAATAACGAACTTAATGGAATGATACCCTGACTAATTTGGGCTAAGTGAGTATATATGTATATTATAACATATATATGTGCATCATATGTGTATAAGCATGTGCGTTGTATGTGAATGGTTAAATGGGGAAGAAATAAACATTGGAAGAATATGTTGACAATATAGAAACACTAATTTTTTGTAAACAAGTAAAATAAGCTCAATCTCAAATATTAGTTTGATACTTTAGAAATGATTTTTAAAAAATCTTTAATTTAAACTTGTCGACCAAAAAAATTTTTTTTTTTGTTTGCATTGACATAGTTTACAAAATGTGTGCAAGGCAAAGTACTTAAAAATGGATAGTAAATGTTAATTGTAGTAAAAATGGATAGTAAAATGGGATAGTAATTGTTGTGTGCAAGCCATAAACTTATTTGCCTTCTATTTAATTTGTAAAATGGGATAGTAAATGTTGTAATAATGGATGGTAAAATGGGATAGTAAAATGGGTTAATTTGTTTTAACACCCTTCCATATTTAATTCAGAGTTTTTGATTTCTTGGTAGCCAATTATCTTCTTCACATTTATAAATAAAAAAATTTCTAAAAATTATTTAGGTGTATCGTGATGGAATTTTATGATTGGCATATTAGAAATTACAAATTAACTTTTTGACTGAACAAGATTGTGTCTCATTGATAGGTTGTGAAACATTCATTAGTGCAAGATGAGGAATATCTAAGTCCTCAGTGTCAGACGACACTATTGTAAAGCTCCTTATGGGCCGTTGCTCAAGTTGTATAGTTTGTTTTGATATCAATACAATTACTGACGTTTCTAAAAAACAAAAAAAAAGAAACATTCGTATATCTTTTTTATGTCTC